TCATCATCATCATCACAGTGGCTAGGAGATGTTAACTACCTCGCCTGGTGTACACAAGGTCGTGGGATTGATCCTGACCCTGACGCCTGCTGCTGTATATTTGGGGTTTGCGTGTCTCTCTCTCTCTCATCATCACGGTGGCTCGGAGATGTTAACTACCTCGCTTGGTGTACAGGAGGTCGTGGGTCTGATCCAGACCCTGACGCCTGTTGTACATTTGGGGTTTGCATGTTTTTCCCGTTTAGAGTATTTGGCTGCTAAAACATTCCACGTGATAAGCCACTTAGTTGAGTAATCATTTGTGGCTCGGTCGCTTCTGGAAAAGAGCTGTATAGCTCAGTGGGCCTCACCTGCCAAAATAAAAAAAATAGTGTTAGTTACGAGGACAGTGGATGTGATCAAAGAGAGAGAGACAATCCGAGCAGCTGACCCCAGGAAACAATGGGACTTGTGGCTTAGAACAAGAATAAGATTGGACAAAACGTCGTGCCTAGAGAACGTGGGTTCCTGACTCGTCCATAGCACCTCCGATTAGCACGGATGGCGGCGACGTACGGTGCAAAAGAAGTTCAACAAACATACACGAACTCCTATACTTACTAACGAGTTAGGGTCTAGAGGTCTGTTCGTAAGTCGATGTGTTTGTAAGTCCAACTTTACTCCTGTCGATTCCAAACATGTTGTACGGCAGGTACACTAAGCACGGGGAGTAGCTTTAAACGTTATATAATCTACTGTAGATGTAGATGCCGCTGGTTCATCACGTTCTGTAGATGTCACCGGTTCTTCACGTTCTGCAGATGTAGGTGCCACCACCGCCATCTATTGCGCAGCGGTTGAACTTACGAACAGGCAACTGGACATACGTACCAGCTTTGTTCGTATCTCTCAAAGTTCGTAAGTCGAACGCTCGTAAGTAGAGGAGGCGCTGTACATACGTACACACGTTAATTCATAGGCACGCTTCGGCGTAAAGAGGGGAGCGCCCCTCCTCCGTCCCTCCCTTCCCAAATGGAGATGCGGAGTTAGGGGGGTGCGGGCGGGGAGAGGGACCCAGTAACGATCGGGGTCGGCAGGCTAACGAGTGGAGATGCACCTCCGATGAGCACGGTCGGCTACGTTCATCGTGCGTGCGATGCGATGCGCTCGCTGCATCGGCATTGTTTCGCATTGTGCAACGAGCGCTGTTGCTCGTCGCCGCGGGCCGCAGCTGTTCCGGTTTTGCCGGCTCGACGAGGACAACAAAAAAAATAAGAAGAGAGAGAGAAAGAGAGAGAGATTCGACTTGCTCCCTAACAGAGACGGCGTCACATCACCGCCGCCGCGATGCTCACGACTCATGCCTCGACCACCACCACCACCGCCACCAACCCCGCCCTGGTCTGGTTACAGAAAACAATTATAATTCCTAAACATGTTCAAAGTGAGCGTGAGCATGCAAACTCGCTTCATTAAATGGGCGAGAATGATCGACGGGAGAAGAGTCAAAACTAATTGTTGTGGCGCTGCTGCTGCTGCTGCGGATGCTGCAACGTTTGACGCACGCGCGCAATTGTGAAAGGCGATGATGATAATTGACATTTATTTGTAAGGCGTCTTCCGCTGATGTCCCAAGGAGCCTTGTAAGAACGAGGCGGAGGAAAGGCCGAGATAGACAGAGAAGCCAAATAGATGCAACTGACTTAAGAAGATGTGGTTTTTGGGACGAGACTTTAAAAGTATCCACACCGTCGAATGAACGAATTTCCTAACGCAAGGCAATTCCACAACCGTGGCGCTGACGCAGCAAACGCCCGCTCACCCCCCAGGGACGCAGCCGGGATCGAGGCTACCGACAGAAGGGTGGAGTCTGCAGATCTTCACGGCGACCATGTGGGGGGATGAATTAACTCGCAATGATAGCAGCACCGTCAACGCGTGGCCTTTAAATTACAAAATAAAAACGTAATACGTGACGTTTCGGGTGATGGCCCTTCTTCATGGCACGTCAATAAATAGGTCAGTCGAGAGGAGATGATAACAGCTGGAAACCGCACTTCTGTACACCGCGGGGAACTGGTGACAATTATATATTTTTAAACGTTTTCCGGTGACACCAGTTTTTTTTCAATAGGCGCGCATGAATAGTTACACTGACCTTGGCTTATTGAGTAACAGACGAAACCCCTTCAATAATTATCTCAACATGTTACTCGTAAAAAAAACATTTATATTCAACGTTAAAGTGATAACATTTCATCCATAATTAGATTTATTATAGATGATATTGGGTCGCGAAAGCCTACGTTTTAAACTGATAAGATGTCGCTGGCACATTTGCGTTGATTGGGACAATGAGTATCACCGTCTGAATAATATGCTTAATGACCAGTAGACTCATCTCACATGTTTTTCAATTACACTTTGCCAATTCACGAATTGCTCGAAGGTCTGTCCACGCTGTGTCAGGCATAGAGTTATTTGCCCATACTTCCCCACACTGGTAACTGCCCGGTGGTGACGGTGGGGGGGGGGGGCTTCAAGACTGGTTCAGATGATCAATCGCCACTTGTTTTTAGCCCTGGCCGGGAATTCAACCCATTCCGCTGCGTTCGCAGCGCGCTAACCCGCGGCACCCGCCGCTCCACGAGTTACTTTGATGTCATCTCCGAGAGAGAGCGGGCTGGCGTATTGCAGGTGCATCCTTTTCTCACGACTTGTGAATCCAAAGCTACGCGCCCTTCCGGTGCATCAAGACAACGAGTAAGCAAAACGTATTCAGGAACTATTTTAACATTTTTGTTGTTTAAATATTTTAAATTTGACCAGGAAAGGCCCACTGAGCTATGAAGCTCTTTTTCAGAAGCGACCTGGCCATCACAAATGATTAGCTGAACGAAAGTGGCTTGTCGCGTGCAAATTCACAGCAGCCAAATACTCTGAACGCGTGGTGATGTTGATTCCAAGTGTGGAGGGAAGAACCCGGAGAAAAATCCACGTGATCGCGGGGAGAGAGACGCGCAAACTCCAAATGTACAACAGGCGTCAGGGTTGGGACCGAACCCACGACCTCCTGTATACCAGGCGAAGTGGTGAACACCTCCTTGTCGCGGGGCTCCATCGTTCCTTCGCCGCAGAATTTCGGCAACAGCGCGTGCCGACGACGCCGCGTCGTCCATGTTGGCAAGGAATGTGGGCGGATCACCGATTCTCGTGCGCGCGCTTCGGGTCAATTCTCTCCCCGCCCGAGGTTGCGCAACGATCAAAGGCACCGGGCGGGGTGGCGGCACGCGACGAAGGCACTCAACTCACATTTGGCTCAAATGTCACCGAGTTTCAAACACCGGTCAAGGGTCAGAGTCGGGTCCAATCGTCCCTGTAAAGGATTTGATTTTAATCCCAGACCCCCCCACTCCAGAAAAAAAAACTAACGAGTCACGGCTTAGATGTTAAACAAACAAAAGCGATCAACAGCGCTTGTTCTTTGGACAGACTGGCACTCCCATCGGAATGTAGAATATTTGACCTCTGGCTGTAAATGGGAGGTGACCACTGCCCAATGCTCGTAAGCGACGTGGGTGGGGGTAGGGGGGCTATTTAAGGGATCACAATCAGAGTGGGATATTTTATTTTGGTATTTATCAGGATCAGAATGTGTGTATTTCTACTGGAGGAATCCAATGAGCTCGAAAGCTCCCCTTTTCACCGATGTTCACAAAGAGATGAGAGGAGCAACGGAGATTTGGCACAAAGACGTGGCCGCGCTTGGCACAGTTGGGCCCTCGAAATACCGGGCGGAGATTCACGGATGGCGTGCCACGGTATTTACATTCTCGTAAAAAACCCAATAATTTCCACCAAAATCCACGTTAACCCGATCGCGCAAACTTTGTCGTGCGATTGAAATAGCATTCCATATTTTCATTGGTATCGGTATTCATATTAGACAACAAACATTTTTTTCCCTGTTGATAAAGCCTCAAGAAAAATATAAAAGAAAATGTAAATAAACCACGTCGCTGAGACAGCTGCCAATCACGGGCGAATTATGGAAGACGCAATCCCAGTGCTGCGCAGCGACGCCGCACACAACACTGACGAGCGGCAGGGAGGCGCGGCCGTACAACACTCGCGCCTTGCAGCAAGAAGGACCTGGGTTCAATTTCCAACCCGGGCGCCTGTCTGTACGCGGTTTGTGTGTGTCCACCCCACTGTTCCGCAATGGGTTCCCTCCGGGTTCTCCGGTTTCATCCCGCAGCCGAATACCTGTTCTTGGTTCTTTCGGTAAAGTCACGTAGAAGGGAAATAGTGAGATAATGAAACAATACAATTCTCACGACGTTTCGATTGCAACACAAGCAATCATCGTCAGGTGTGAAAGCCACAGCAATACGTTTTCCTGCTGTGATTGCTTGTGTTGCAATCGAAACGTCGTGCGAATTTTATAGTTTTATTCGTTTATTATTTTATTATTTCCCTTCCACGAGACTTTACCGAAAGAACCAAGAATATGAATCCCTGCAGTCACGAAAGCTTTAAATCGAAAAGCCGAAAACCTATTATGAAAACATGTTTGTTTAAATGTTCACCACAAGTACATGTGGTTAAGTCAGGCTTGATTCCTTGCAAATGGTTTATATTTGGTGTTTGAACATCTTACCACCTCCTGTTTTACTGCCAGAAAGGGTAACACCTATTCTTATTTTTCACTCACACACAGCAGCAGCAGCAGTAGTAGAGAGCAGCAACATCCCCCACCTTCTGCAAAAAAATCCGGCAGGACCGTCCTGAATTCGCGCCTGGAGACTCGGTGCGGCTCTCCTCGGTTAAACATGAATAAACTATTTTTTTTAACTATTTAATTTGTCCAGGTTAGCCCCGCTGAGCCACGTATCTCTTTGCCAGAAGCGACCCGGCCATCACAAATGACAGCTCAACCAAGTGGCTCATCGCCACCGAGCGGACGTTTACAGCGGCGGCCACGTACGCCCGAACGGCGCCAATGGTCGGGCTGGACTCACGGGTAGCAGGAAGCCCCGCGTCGACCAGCATGCCCTCCCTCGTCGGCTGCCAGAAGCTCCGGCTCCACCACGCCAGGCTGCCGTTCCGCTGGCACGACGCCGCGCGGCCGGGGTCGCTCTCGCCCCCAGCGCCCTCCGCCCACAGGCGCACGTCGGCCAACTCGCCGACCAGCGCCCGCTGCGGCACCGCCACCCACGCCCTCGCGCCGCCGCCGCCGCCGCCGCCAGCCGCCGCCGCCGCCGTCTGGAAGAGCCCCAACAGGAGGTCTCCCGAGCCCTGGAGCTCGGCGGGATCGTCCGAGGCGAGGCTGGCGTTGAGGATCAGGGAGCCGTCGGCAAAGACGGTGGCGGTGCCGCCGCCGGTGCCGCCGGTGCCGCCGGTGCCGCCGGTGCCGCCGACCCAACGGGCGCAAACGCGGTGCCACGCCTCGTCGTGAGGCCGCTTCCAGGGGACCCAGGTGGCGCGCCCGCCAAGCCAGAACGCCAGCGCCGTGCGGTTGCCCGAGAGGCCCAGGGTGGGCGTGGTGGCCTCGCTGTCAGCCTGGGGCGAGGAGTAGGTGAAGAGCGTCCAGTCGGCCGGGCCGGCGATGCGCACGCTGGCGCACAGAGCGATGGAGGAGAGGCGGGCCGGCAGGATGCCCGGGTCGCTGAGGCTCATGAAGGACACGGGACTCTGGAGGAAGACGGCCATCTTGCCCTGCAACCGCGGGGCGTCTGTGGAGAAAGATTCCTACTTTAGTGTTGTTGTTTTTTTATTTTAATTAACAAAATTAACACGTGGGGTCTTTCGCGAGCGATACTGTTCACGATTTAAGCGGGGTTTTTTTTTTTTTTTGGGGGGGGGGGTTGGAATGCATGAATGTACATGGGTCGTAGACCGACCTCCAGACACCGGTGTGCCGAAGCAGCAATGTATTTAATTAACGAACCAACTATTGTTATTTGGCCAGGTAAAGTCCAACGAGCTGCGTAGCTCTGGCCACATACGTTACAGCCACGGAGTGGCTCACCGCGCGCAAATTTATAGCAGCAGACAAATGTTCTAAACGCGTGTTTCTAATCATGGGACCTCCTTTGCCAGTTCCAAAACATGAGAATAGGTTTGTCCCCTTTAATCTGGCAACAAAACGGGTGTTTAGTTGTTAAAACACCAAGCTGAAACCTTTTACAAGGGATCATGTCTGAATTAACCACAATACTTGTGGTCAAAATACAAACAAAAAACACACTGATAATATGATGCATTGTCCTTGAAACTGATTGGTCCACACCAGAGACAGCTTTCTTTTGAGCCTCGTCTCAAACGGTGTTAGACCAGAAGACGCCAAAAGGTGTACAGCAGCAGCCAAGTACGCTCATAAATGCATACAGTATTAAATTTTGATTTAAAGCTTTCGTGACTGCAGGGATTCATATTCTTAGTTCTTTCAGTAAAGTCACGTACAAGGAAAACAATAAACTAATAAAAATATAAAACAATACAATTCTCACGACGTTTCGACTGCAACACAAGCGATCATCATCAGGTGTGAAAAACATTTTTTCTTGTTGTGGTTATCACACCTGATGATGATTGCTTATGTTGCAGTCGAAACGTCGTGAGAATTGTATTGTTTTATATTTTTATTAGTTTATTGTTTCCCTTCTACGTGACTTTACCGAAAGAACCAAGAAAATATAAAAATACCACAAGTATTGTATGCATTTATGAACATTGTACATCGTTTAACGATGTGAGAACCAGAGTGGTGCAAGGCTGCACGAAAGGTTAAGGACAACTGCATTAGGGGATCTGAGCGTTGCCGCGTGCGTTCGCCGGAAAAATAGAATAGGCAGACAGAAAATCAAACCTACCCTACGACACGTGATGTAAATAAATAACACGATCAATACCGGAGCATCCTGCCCCGTGTTATTACAGCGCTGTTTGGGTGCTCGATCGATGGTAACTCGGCCGGCTGGCCTTGTATTACACATCCGCACCAATGAGGGCTCCCCGCACGGCCATTTCCGATGTCCATGCTTCGGGCGAGCCGAGTTCCATTCCCGCTCACGGCCACCAACACCGGTGACAACTATCTGAACCGGTCCTCGCCCCCCCCCCCCCCCCCCCCAGGTCGACGCAGCCCCAAGTGAGCCCAAGATGCTCGCAGGGAGACAGATACGTGGTGCTGACCACACGCCCTCTCTGTGAGTGCTATCTTGGCCAGCAGCACTTGCCCCAGCAGTCTGCTGAAGGCTATACGGGGGATCTTTGTCTGCGTGCATGCGTGTGCACATCGTGTGAGTGTGCACGCGCGCCCTCTCTCCCTCGAGCTTCCTCCAGTGAATGCCCTGCTGCCAGCAGTGGCGTGAGCGGGCAATTGTAGGGCTGCGCCTTTACCTCGCGTGCACTACAAGGGGTACCGCTCGAATTGAAAGACACCCGTACCCATTCTGGGTTTGTGATCACTTAGCAGAAGCTTTCAAGGTCGAGATGCGATCCCGATGGACATTCTCTGTCGAGACACCGACACTGCGTCCGCGTGTGTGTCCATTGTAAGTGCGCGTGTGTGTGCGTGTACACGGGGAGCGGTAGTGTGGTGGTGGCGGTGGTGGTGTTGTTGTGGTTTGTGTGATGGTGGTGGCGATGTGGTGGTGTGGTGGTGGTGTGGTGGTGGTGGCGGTGTGGTGGTGGTGCGCTACAAATACAACGACGACCAGATTTCGATTTCCGCTCACGGCCAACATCTGAGCCACCCCTCCCCCGAAGCGTGTAGGCTTCACAGACTGTAGGGGCAAGTGCTGTTAGCGAGTACCTCTATCCAGGCTCCCACGGCACACAAGGGGGTGGGTGCCCAGCACAACGCCCGGTCGCCTTTGTCTCCCCAGTGGCGATGTTTACACATTGCACCAGGTACTCATTTGCGGCTGAGTTGACCTAGGGGAGGCCCAGGACCGGTTCAGATAATCGTCAACGGTGTTGGCCGTGAGCGGGAATCGAACTCGGGTCGCCGGGTTCGTAGCGCAGCGCGTGGTAATTAATTGAAGGTGGAGGGGTTACCAGCCACTCGCACCCGTCCAAAGTCCCCATTTGGCCCCTGTGGTGGCTACGAACGCCACGAAGGGAAAGGTCAACCTAAGTTGACCCTCCTCCCTAGACAACTGCCCACCACAGCGTTGCCGTCCGGCACCACGAGGAGGTAGGGGGTTGTTTTTGCCGGACTACACTCACACACACTCTGTCACACACTCTCATACACACTCACACACGCTCACACACTCTCATACACATTCACACACACACTCACACACTCTCATACACACACACACTCACAAACACTCTCATACACACTCACACACTCTCATACACACACACACTCACACACTCATACACACACTCTCTCACACACTCTCATACACAAACACTCACACACACTCTCATACACACTCACACACTCTCATACACACTCACACACACTCGCACACTCTCATACACACTGGCACACTCACACACTCTCATACACACTCACACACTCTCATACACACACACTCACACACATTCTCATACACACTCACACACTCTCATACACACTCACACACACGCTCACACACTCTCACACACACTCACACGCTCACACACTCACACACCCTCACACGCTCACACACTCACACACACACACTCACGCACACACACACACACTCAACATCCCCCTCGTTCCCCCGGCTCCTTAGCACCCCCACCAACTCATTTCGCTGGCACACAGGACGTGTTGAAATAACACTTGGTGGTGGTGGTGGTGGGGGGGTGTGGAGCGAGCGGGTTGGTGTGGGGGGTGAGTCGGGGTGGTGGTGGTGGTGGTGGAGGGGGTGGTGGCGTTGCCTTCTCGAGATATCTCACCACGCGCAGACCCAACCCCGGTCGGCTCCACCCAGCGTAACGGAGACAACACCGAAGCAACAACCACAACAGTCGAGACGCGCTGCTGCTGTTGTGGAAGTTTCGTCGCTTTCCTGGAGCGGGCAACAGTTGCGTCGCGTTCCGCGCGCGTCCTTCGTAGCGACTTGTTTTACAAAAGTTGCTCCATCGCGCATGGGGCGTAGCCGATCGTGACCCCCCCCCCCCCCCTCTCTCTCTTAGAGCAGTTGTTCTTCTTCTTAACCTGGGGGTGCACGCAACACCCCCTAGGGGGTGCGAGATGCCCCTTTCTGGGGGTGCGAGGCATGGCCAGATTTAAAAAAAATATTTTTTTTTAAAGCTAAATCATCGAAACACAAATTAAGCCCAGGAACGTAAGTTACAACTTACTTTGTTTAATCAAACCCTCTATGTAGTCATAATAGAGTCTTGTTTGGGTTAGATCGCGTAAATATATATGTGTGTCGTTAAACCCGCCACCACCCTACACAGCCAACTAGTAAGGGTTGTCACGTAGACAGAACGTGGCCAATTCATCACTAGTACAGCACAAACCGGTATGTTGGAGACTAAACCCACACAATTTACAATCTGAGCACGATCTCTTTGTTTTTTTTCGGTAAAGTCAAGTAGGTAAAAAAATGTAATCACGACGTTTCGGGCGCAACATAAGCGTCCTTCTTGAGGTGGGAACAACTTGGCGAAAGCACGCCGCTTAAACGTGACACGCTTGTGTTGCGCCCGAAACGTCGTGGTTTAATTTCTTTTAATGTTTTCACCTACGTGACTTTACCGAAAAAAAACGGTATGAATCCTTGCAGTCACGAAAACTTCAAATCTAGAATTGAGGGCCAGTAATTACAACTCGCTCCATTAGGCGGACGGCCAGATGTATATATATATGTTTGTGAACATTGTACATTGTTTCGCGATTGAGAACCAAAGAGGTGCAGGGCTGCGGTAAAAGTTAAGAACCACTTAGCGCAACACTCCGAAAGAGAGTTTCTCACGGATGGAATGCCCTCTCCGCTGCTTACTCCATCCGTTCGCCCTTCACACACCTCTGCACCCCCACTCGGAATGTCGCCTTGACGGGTAAAAACCGGGGCAGTATTGCAAATTGGCCGTCTATGCGTGTTGGTGTGTGTCTGTGTGTTGGTGTGTATCTGTGTGTTGGTGTGTGTTGGTGTGTGTCTCTGTGTTGGTGTGTGTCTGTGTGTTGGCACAGTAGGGGGCACAGGTGGTGCATCAGCCACTCATCTCAGTCAGTCGACCCGTGGCACCTGGGTCTGCCCCGTGACCTCTTGCCAGTGGGCGTTCGACACTTCACGTGGCCTCAAGGTGCACATAGCCTGGCACAAGCGTCGTGGTGACGTCAGCGCCACTTAGTGGCAAATGGCGGTTGTTCCGGCCTTCATAGGTGCTCGCTAACAGCACTTGCCCCTACAGTCTGTTACGGCTATATGGGGGATCTTTTTGTCTCTGTGTTGCTCGTGTCTGTGTGTTGGTGTGTGTCTGTGTGTTGGTGTGTGTCTGTGTGTTGGCGTGTGTCTGTGTGTTGGTGTGTGTCTGTGTGTTGGCGTGTGTCTGTGTGTTGGCGTGTGTCTGTGTGTTGGTGTGTGTCTGTGTGTTGGCGTGTGTCTGTGTGTTGGCGTGTGTCTGCGTGTTGGCGTGTGTCTGTGTGTTGGTGTGTGTCTGTGTGTTGGCGTGTGTCTGTGTGTTGGCGTGTGTCTGTGTGTTGGCGTGTGTCTGTGTTGGCGTGTGTCTGTGTGTTGGCGTGTGTCTGTGTGTTGGTGTGTGTCTGTGTGTTGGTGTGTGTCTGTGTGTTGGTGTGTGTCTGTGTGTTGGTACCGGTGCATTGCGCAGAACTCTGACGGCTGGTACAGAGCCAGGGGATCGGCAAGCAAAATAACAAGACGATACTTTTTTTTATAGAATTCGGTAAGAAAAATGGCAGAACGAATTCTTCGGCCGTGGCTGATCATTGTTTCAACACAGCGGGTTCTCATGACATTATTTTCTCCGATACCAAAGCACTATGCAAACCTCCCGGTTATTACCAAAGATGTGTCCATGAAGCCATCCAGATATACAAACATAGACACAACTTCAACCGAGAGGACGGTTTTAAATTGAGCAACTTTTGGGAAAGATGTCATCAACCAAGTCAAACTTTAGCTGGCTTATAATTATACAGCCGTTTCCGTTTCTACCGGGATTGTACTCGCTCTCGTGCAGCACGCCATCACCCTCCCCCCGAACCCCCTGCAGCATAACAAAAGGTGGTTTTACGCGCAAGTACACCACCGCCTCCCCCAGAACCCCCTGCAGAATAACAAAAAACGGCTACACTTAGCCCCCTCCCCCACCCACGTCCCTTCCTGGCTCCTCCCCCCCCCCCCTTAACTTAGCCCCCCTCCCCACCCACATCCCTTCCTGGCTCCTCCCCCCCCCCTAAAACCTGTATATAATCTCGTGTGTCCCAGAGCTGTTCACTTGACACAGCTGATTGTGCTGTGTCGGTTCCACCTGAAGACGGAAGCTTGCGTTGCCTCCGAAACGTCGTGATTTAATTTAATTGCTTTCATTTATTTTATTCTACCTACGTGACTTTACGGGAAAAAAACCCCCAAAAGAGTAAGAAAAATATGTTTTTCATATTTCAAGAGCTACGTGGTGAATGCGGGTCACGAAGCAGTGCTCGCCTTAAAGAGCCGCGTGCGTCTGGTGGGGCGCAGGTCGCCGATCCCCTAGTACCATCCCTGCCAACCCCTCATCAGTGCCCTCCCCTAATACAGACCAATTCAGACCTCGTTGGTCACCCCGTGCCCTGATCAATCGCAACGTTCATCCCACAAAGTTCCATCACGAGGGAGAAACACAAACAAATAGACATTTTTTTGCCCGTATTGAAACGGCTGTACGCCGTATGGACCTGAAATCGCAATTTCTCTGTACAAGAATACGTGGTAAACCATATGGGTAGACAGGTTTGTGGTACATATCGAGTGCTGACTGAGAAATATGCCCCGGAATTGGTCAAGAGTGGAACAGGTGGCAACCGAAGTCACACACATCACATCGTCACATCATCTGAGTGGTGGTGGAATAAACAAGCACATTGGGTGGTTCGTATAGGGTTGCCACCTGCCCTGGTTTTCCCAGGACGTCATCTCTCTCGAGGTGGCTATCCCGGGATTGTCAATTATCCAGGGGTTATTGCCCATTGGTGCCGTGAGATTGCGTAGTGGCGGCGTGAGACTTGTCGAGGCGGTGGATGGAAATTGCACGGGTGGCCCGCTGCTTGACTCCGAACTTTGCGGGTTAAACCCTCGTCAATTCTCCAGCGGTATTGGGGGGGGTCTGCATTTTGGACTGAATTGTTGACGGCAGGGACCACAGAGACTGTGTCGGGTCAGAAATGAAGACGGGAAGAGTGGTGGGGCCCAACTCGGACAAGATGAGAGAAAGTCAACTCTGGTGGCTAGGAGGACTGCCGGTTACGGTTCAGGGATAGTGGTACCCAACTCGGACAAGATGAGAGAAAGTCAACTCTGGTGGCTAGGAGGACTGCCGGTTACGGTTCAGGGATAGTGGTACCCAACTCTGACAAGATGAGAGAAAGTCGGTACAGGTGTCTGGGTAGGACGCGCCGTGAGAAGAGAGGAAAGCCACGCCACAAGAAGAACGGTGACGATGAACGTGGAAGCACCAGGGCGGAGTTAGAGAGGCAGGCCGACAGAGAGAGAGAGGGCGAGAGAGAGAAACGCGGTGCAGGATGTGAAGGATGTGAAGGACCGCGGAGTGCACAGCGGAGACGATGGCCTCGGGATAGGAGTGCGCTGAGAAGCGAGGCAGCGTCAGGCCAAGGGCACCACGCGTGTCAGCTCAACGCCAGCGAGAAGGAGAAGCGAAAAACGCGCGCGTGGTAACCACGTGGGGTCGCCCTGCAATGTCCCTGCTGGCACGGGTGGTGGGTGGGCCACCTCCTGCGAGCGGGGCCCCGCGACTCGAGGGAGAGCCGCGCCAGAGGGCTGTTGACTTAGCGCTGGATGGGGGGGCTGCTTCATTATTGCTGACCAGAAAACGACCACATTGTTTTGGGGAGCCTTTAAAAGGAGCGGGCTGGGGGGGGGGAGCTTTGGGTGGGGAGGGAAGGCAAGCGGGGGTGGGTGGAGGGGGAGTCTGGCTTAGAAAAGTTGAGGTGGAGGGGGGCGACTTCCTGGCCTCGAATGCACTCCACACCAACAACGCGTGCCTCGCCACCACCACCAGCAACCCTTGACGAGACGACGGCGTTCATCAGCGCGCGGTGTTTGGACGGCGCCTCCCCACGTGCCCGCCGTGCGGGGGACGGCGTCTGCCAAGCGACCCGCACGGTGACACCCTCACCTCCTCCACCATCACCTCCTCATCCTCATCATCATCGTCGTCGACGGGAGTTCATTACGCGAGCGTGAAACTTTTTGCGGAAATTAAAATCCACCCGGGGGTGTGGGGGGGGGGGGTGTTTGTCTGTTTTGTTTCTCTTAGCGAGGTATTTCATTACCGATCGTGGCACCTCATCGACGTCGTCATCGTCGTCATCGTCGTCGTCATCGTCAAAGTCGTCATCATCGGCGTCATCATCATCGTCAACGTGGTCATCATCGTCATCGTCAACGGCGTCATCATCGTCGTCATCATCTTGTCAGCCTCCGGTCGGTGCGTCCCCGATTCAGGAACGCGAAGGAGGCGTCATCGTCATCGTCGTCACAGCTGCGATGACGCTACACCTCGTTTACTCCGGACGCGACCATCTGGCTCAGCCACCTCAACGTAAACGTCACAGCTGCTGCTCCAGACACCAACATCAGCCGCACCAAGAGGGAAGGGTGGCAGCCATGATCTACCCACTGCTGGTTGACGGCATCCCCTCGACCCCCCACCCCCGCCACAGCCATCACGATCCCTTACAGTATCGTGAAGGAATAGAGACAAAGATCCCCCGTGTAGCCTGTAACAGACTGTAGGGGCAAGTGCTGTTAGCGAGCACATATGAAGGCTGGCACAGCACACAAGGGGGTGGGTGGCCAGCACCACGCCCGACCGCCTTTGTCTCGCGAGTGCCGATGTTTACTACACACCGCACCAGGCACTAATTTGAGGCTGAGTCGACCTAGGAGAGACCTAGGACCGGTTCAGATAATCGTCACTGATATTGGCCGTGAGCGGGAATCAAACTCGGCTCGCCGGGTGCGTAGCGCAGCGCGTTACCCGCTACACCACATCGAACTCCTGAGACAACGATCCATCCAACTACTGCACACAAGTCGATGTGGTTGCTCCATCTCCGTAGAGAACGACACCTCTCACGACTGTGCCGCGATTCCCACCTTTGGGCTGCCGCTCCATCGTTCGTCTCGACCACCGGCCATCAACCCACCGAGCGGCCTGCCCTGGCCCAAGCCCCACTTACTTGGTGGGATAAACTTGAGCATTCAGTCCAAACTTATAGCGGGCGTTCTTGTAAAAATAATAATAATTAACCCGACATAGTATAGCAAACTGAACTGAAGAAAATCATGTGGCACGCAGGAGAGGGTCCTCAACGGAGGTCAATGTTATCGCGATCGTGGCACGTGTCATCTGCCACCTGCTAGCTGTCGCCTGCCACCTATTAACCACCACCAGACCACTCACCACGCTCTACACCCACCCAACCACCACGACTCGCCACCTCACCACCTCACCTGTGGCTGTGAATGGTTGGCCTGAAAGTGTCACTCCTCCAGGGAGCCATCCGCACCACGGACCATGCAAACGCCACTCAAAAAACGTACCACCCACCACACAGCACGTACCACCCACCACACAGCACGTACCACCCACCACACAGCACGTACCACCCACTACACACCACGTACCACCCACTACACACCACGTACCACCCACCACACAGCACGTACCACCCACTACACACCACGTACCACCCACCACACAGCACGTACCACCCACTACACACCACGTACCACCCACCACACAGCACGTACCACCCACCACACAGCACGTACCACCCACTACACACCACGTACCACCCACCACACAGCACGTACCACCCACCACACAGCACGTACCACCCACTACACACCACGTACCACCCACCACACAGCACGTACCACCCACCACACAGCACGTACCACCCACTACACACCACGTACCACCCACCACACACCATGTACCACCCACCACACACAACGTACCACCAATCACACAGCAAGTAACCACCCACCGCACCCCGCATACCACCCACCACACAGCATGCAACCACCCACCACACAGCACGTACCACCCACCACAGAGCACGTACCGTTCACCACACACCACGTACCACCCACCACACAGCACGCAAACCACCCAGCGCACACCACGCTAACCACCCACTGCACACCACACACCGCATACAACCCCATCGCGCCCCACGCACCACCCACCGCACCTCGCATACCACCAACCGACCCAGCACACACCACGCGCGACACACCCCGCGTAACCGCCCAACCGCACACACACGCAGACACACACGCACGCACACACGCACGCACACACGCACACACACACGCACACACACACCACGCGCGCGCCGGCGCGACTCACCTATGGTGTCGACCGTGATTCGGAAGCCCTTCTCCTCGAGTGACGCGTCCGTGATGAACTGCAGCACAAGCCTGTTCCCGGGCGAGCTCATGGCCCGCTGGCCGGCGCTGGGCATCATGCACACCATGGTGGGCGCGCTCACGTGCTCGAACCCGTAGGAGACGAGCAGGTAGTCGTACTTGCAGCCGCTCGTCTGCGACTCGAGGAGCAGCTCTTGCACGGTGAGGCGCACGGACGAGCCGCTGGGCACGGTGATCTCCCAGCGACAGTTCAGATTGCTGGGGTACTTGCTGGGGTAGGAGGGCGACTCGATGACGGTGCCGTTCGGCGGGTCGGTCAACGGCCCTCCGCACGCGCCTGCAGCGGCCGCTGCACGCACAGCGCGGATTGGAGAGTCGACGAATTAGAAGCGAAAAAAAAAACAAAATACACCCTATTGCGAACAGCAGCAGCAGCATTTGGGGAGACAAAGGCGGCCGGGCGTGGTGCTAGCCACATCGCCAACCCTCGTTAGGTGCTCGCTTGGGGTTCGCAGGGCGCTCGCTAAGAGCACTTTGCCCCCAACAGGCCAAGAGGATATGATCGGGAGAGAATTTTATGTCTTGGTGACGTGTTGCCAAAAAACATTTCAAAGTGGGGTTCCTGCTGGTCAAGTGAGCGTCCAGGCTTTGGTGCTGATCTCCCGTTGAACTGAGACAGTGGTGGAAATTCCACATTTCTATGGCGGGGCTAGCGTGGGGATTCGAGCCTTAGGACAAACCGCTGTTGACTACCCCAGACAGTGGTACTTAATTTAGCCACCCTTGAGGGATGATGTGCTGAGTCAACCCTCCAACCAGGATTTGAACTCGCTCTACACATGAGGCACCCGGCCACATTTTCAACAACAAAAAACACTCAACATTGTCAATAATAATAATACTAAGGTTAAAAAAACAAACAAACTACAACACGCGCACACACGCACGTGGATTGTGTAACTCTGACCATCACCGCGGGGGGTATTCCCGATGACGTCACGCACGATGATGTCATAGGGCGAGGCGCGTGGCGTGTGACGTAATTTGTCTTGGCCGAAAAGGCCATTTTTTTTATCGTTTAGTATTTGTTTTCTATCGCAAAAACTTTGGCCGTCCCCGCTTTCTATGGCCGTCTTTTCATTGTTCATTGACGACGTCATTTGTGGTCAACACGCTACCGTACGGTGCGAAAGAAGTTCCATCATACACGCGTCCGTGACACCGCATTGCCGCAACGGCGGGCGGTGATTCGGCGTGTGGATGCGTGACGGGTGATTTCAGTTTGGGGCCGTCCATAAATGACGTCAAGCGATTTGGGACGATTTTTGAGCCCCCCCCCCCTTCGTCACACGACGTCACAAAAAGGCAGACCGACCCCCTCAAATATGACGTCACAAAGCTTTGCCCCCCCCCCCCCAATTTTTTTTTAACATGCCTCAAATCGAATTTCGATTTAAAGCTTTCGTGATTGCAAGGTTTAATCATCTTGGTTTTTTCAGTAAATTCACCACGTAGAATGGGAATAAAACAAATAAAAACAAAATAAGACAATAAAATTCTCATGACGTTTCGGCCACAACACAAGGAGGCTACTTGTGTTGTGGCCGAAACGTCGTGAGCATTTTATTGTCTTATTTTGTTTTTATTGTTTTATTCTACGTGACTTTACCGAAATAACCAAGAAGATGCTTCAAATCGCTATAAACTATTGTCATTGAAGTTGCTAATTTAACGTGGCGCTGCACTCTGATGTTGTAGGAGAAAACATTTATTAAAAAGTCTATTTAATTAAGTAGAACGTGTTGTCTATATTTATTTAAAGTTGCAGCATTTTGATGTGACGTCACATTTCTCAAACCCCCCCCCCCCCTCGTCACACATCGTCACAAATATCTGACCCCCCACCCCCATAGGTGCGTGACGTCAGTGCAATAAGGGTTCAATTATAGGCAGTGTGTCCGCGTGTGTCTGGGTGTACCAATGTGTGTGTTTAGGTGTATCTTGACAAGGAACAGCCAGATGACGCATATCTGTCAATCCCACACGGTTTACCCAGTATTCTTGTACAGGGAAATTGAGTTTCGATTTAAAGCTTTCGTGACTGCAGGGATTCATATTCTTGGTTCTTTCGGTAAAGTCACGTAGAAGGTAAATAATAAAATAATAAAAATACAACAATAAAATTGTATTTTTATTATTTCCCTTCTACGTGACTTTACCGAAAGAACCAATAATATGTCTATTTATTTGTGTTTCTCCCTTGTGATGGGACTTTGTAGGATGAACGCTGAGATTTTTAAGGGCACGGGGTGGCCAATAAGGTCTGAATTGGTCTGTAATAAGTGAGGGGGCACTGATAAGGGGTTGACAGGTATGAATGATGCCACCGAGATGGCGTCACCATCGAACACCTCCCGTCCAGCGGCACATGACGACGTGCGAACAGAGGTGATCCGTTTATTTTCCAGCAACGAGTGTACTTGAAGAATTTCCATTCCCAGCTACAATTTACACGTCCAGGCTCAGATTGGTGAGCCCCCCAAAAAACGAATCTTTTGGTGGCTTTGAATAAAGTCCAGCAGAGCCTCTCATACTGATTGGTTGGAGCATTGAGACAGACCACCACCACCACCACCACCGCCATAATCATCATCCCTCTGGAGATCGATAAAATCGGTACCGCTTCATTTCAGGAGTGACTAACTTCACGGTGAGAGTGTGGGTAGACACCCTGTTGTATGGTTAGGTAGACACGGGGACTCCCTCATGCTCTCTACTTCTCAATTTATCTCGGCATCTCTCCGTTTCTTTGTATCTTCGCCTGGTATGCAGGAAGTCGGGGGCTTGTGATCCCGACCCTGACGCCTGCTGTATATTTGGGGTTTGCGTGTCTCTCTCCCCGTGGTCGCGTGGATTTTTTTTACGCGGGCCCTCCCATTATTTCCCTCTTAAATTTATAAACGCACGTTTAGCTTATTCAGAGTTTGTTCCTGCTCTAAATTTCCACGTGATGATAGGCCACTTCGATGAGCTAGCATTTGTGGACTGGTCGCGTCTTAACAAGAAGCTAATAGCTGAGTGAGCTTTACCTAGTATATAAAAAAATATAAGTGATATGTTTACCTGTCCGATACTTTACACCCCTGTGGTGTTTTTGTACTGTTTGTTGTTGTAACGTTCTGACCCCGTGTCCCCGAATCGACATCTGCGCAAAAGAGCTTCATAGCTCATCGCTTTCCTCCTCCCGTACAAATAAAAATGATTCCCATTTTGACCATCTCACTCGTTGTCTCTCGCTCTCTCGCCCTCTCGCCCACTCGCCCACTCGCCCACTCGCCCACTCGCTCACTCGCTCTCTCGCTCTCTCGCCCTCTCGCCCACTCGCCCACTCGCTCACTAGGTCTCTCGCTCACTCGCTCACTCGCCCACTCGCCCACTCGCCCACTCGCCCACTCGCTCTCTCGCTCTCTCGCCCACTCGCCCACTCCCTCACTCGCTCACTCGCCCACTCGCTCTCTCGCTCTCTCGCCCTCTCGCTCACTCGCTCACTAGTTCACTCGCTCTCTCGCCCTCTCGCTCACTAGTTCTCTCGCCCACTCGCTCTCTCGCCCTCTCGCCCTCTCGCCCACTCGTTCTCTCGCTCTCTCGCCCACTCGCCCTCTCGCCCACTCGCTCACTAGTTCTCTCGCTCTCTCGCTCTCTCGCTCACTCGCTCACCTGCGCACTCCGTCGCCGCGAGGACGCAGAGGAGCAGCGGGGCGAACGCGCCGATGAGTCGGTCCATTCTGCGGAACGCAAAAAGAGAGGCGAGTTTGCGAGTCCGCCGGAGGGAGGTCGCCTTCGTCCGCGGTGGACGCATTTCCGCGGCGCGGCAGCGGCGGAGCGACGCGCGCTCCCGGCTCGTTCCGCGCGCGTCGCGACGTACGACGTTTCGCTGCGCGTGCCGGCGAGATTTCCTGGCTTGTTGGTCAGCTCGCGGTGGTTGTGACACCACGCGATGCAATAGTCCGGCGTGGTGGGGGGGGGGGGGGAGAAAGCGAGAGGGAGAATCGAATGAGAGAGGAGGGGGGGAGAGCGGCTCGATTCAGGACCTGGTGCGAAACGTCGGACATGGTTCTGAACAAACGCGCGATACGAGATGTACGGCGCAGCGTCGGGAATCTGCGCGGTAGAAATGACAGATTGATTACCAGATTAAATTAAGTGACAGCCGCTTCTTAAATCATCCCCATTCGCTCATCGCGACGACCCCTAATGTCGAATCGCAGTCACAGTCACATCGATTGTACTAAATGCAAAGTGTATTATTAATTAAAAAATATATTGCTGTGGTTTTCCCATCTGATGATGATTGCTTGTGTTGCAATCGAAACGTCGTGATTTGTTTAATTTATTTCTAACTACGTGACTTTACCGAAAGAAGCAAAGAGTCATGAAAGCTTCAAATCATTATTAATAATACTTTCAATTCATTAAGCGGCTTTAAAAAAATCATTCTCAGGGCGCTACGCATGGAAAGTCGGACATAGTTTTCCATGATTACTGGACAATTCATACTTTCATCATCATTCTTAATAATAAAAATAATTTACATTTGCAATGCAGCGCATTTCATCCGGAGATTTCACCAATTCGCCGCCGTGTATGGGAAGCAGGGAATAGAAGAGAATCTGCAGGGCACACGGCCAGGACTAAGAGGGGCTGAAGGCCAGTCTCAAGAGGTGCACTCTCATTGTCTCGAGAGCACTGCTGGATTAAGCGAGTGCAGGGCCTGTAGCATAATGCTATAAAGGGGGCCCTAAATTAAAAAAAAACACGTGAATATTACGACACAAACGTTTAACTTGCATCATAAAGTAATTGTATTTTTTTCATTTGCTATACAGCCAGATAATACGACATATCGCTAACCTCAAACACCCGGTCGTTCGTAAAAGTTGAAGGTGGTGTAGTACTATAGTAACAGAGCAAGTGCAGACTCACTGAACCGGGATTGATAGCTTGGAAGCGTTTAGCGCGGGGCCCTTGAAAGTGCGGGGCCCGTAGAATGTGTAGCTACTTGTGCTCCGAGGATAAATCCGGCACTGCTCGTGAGCAAAAACAGAGGCTGGAGAGCTCTGCACTGGCAAGAAGCGCGATCAGCCCTGCAGGAACGGAGCCTCCACCTCGGAGTACTGAGCAGAAGGCGATCCGAGGATCTCACGGATCAAGTTGGTAGAGTCAACACGGATCGGTTGCCGTGAACACTGCGGTGCTCTATCATCAGGTCAAGATCTATCCCCTGCTACGTGAACCCCCTCCCCCACCAAGACACCGAAATATCGCACGGTCACCGGGCGGTGGAGCAATCCACTGGAGCACGCTGCCCACCCCCCCCCACCCACCCTGGAGCTGATTTTGCCGATCCATCTCTCTAGACCGGGCGTCCTCTCTATCCGGGCGCGTTTTGCCACTCTGGCCGTCACCCCGATCCCCAGCCTCGACCACAAGCACCATCGCCATCACCACCGCCACCATCACCCCCATCACCACCACCACCACCGCTACCACCACCCCCATCACCACCGCCACTATCACCGCCACCAACGACCGCCATTCGCCACTAAGTGGCGGTGACGTCACCACGACGCTTGTGCCAGGCTATGTGCACCCTGAGGCGACGTGAAGTGTCGAACGCCCGCTGGCAGGTCACGGGGCAGACCCAAGTGCCACGGGTCGACCGACTAAGATGACTGAGATGACTGGCTGATGCACCACCTGTGCCCCCGACTGTGCCAACTTGCTGTGCTTTAGCCACCCGGCGCTCCGCTCGTTGTTGTGAGCGTCGCTCCTCCGCCCTCCGTTGTTTTTGGAGGGCGACTGCCTCCAATTGCCCATTAGCGTCCTTCAGGAGCCTCCTCCACAGAGGCCGATCTTGACACCGCTGGTACCAGTCATCGGCAAGTCCACTCAGCTCCACGTCCTCCTCTACCACATCACTCCATCTCTTCTCTAGCCCGTGCCGCGCCCGCTTAGCCCCCTCGATCAGGCCGAAAAAAAGCTGTTTCGGCATGCGGTGGCTGGGCATGCGGGCTACATGACCCAGCCAACGCAGCCTTGCCTGCCGGAGGAGCTCACCGATGGGACCTTGCTCAGATCTTTCAAAGATTTGTGAGCTCCTCACACAATCCAGCCTGGTTAAACCCAGGATGGGTCGTAGGCAGGCTACCCTTAAAGGTTTCTAACCGGCGAAAATGTTCCATTAGGGGGGTCCACGTTTCGCAAGCGTAGAGAAGGGAGGGAATGGCCGTGGCCGAGAACACCTGAAGCTTAGTGCGGACCGACAGACCAGGTAGCTTCCACACAGCATTACGCAACCGATGAAAAGATATTGCCACTCGATTGATTAGGAGTGAGACCTCTGCTGTTAAACTGGAGCCGGTCATAAGCACACTGCCCAGGTATGGGAAACTCTCCACTCTCTCCACAACTGCCCCATCACCGATTGGGAGTTGTGGGGGTGGAGTGTCCGATGGTACAAAATACCCAGGCAGGTGCTTAGTTTTGGTGGGGCTGATGGTAAGGCCCCATCTCTTAGTGGCATGCTCTAGTCTCAGCAGCAGCGTCTCCAACTCCTCCTCTGAATGAGCAGCTATTACCAGATCGGCATACGTAACGTGGTTGAGCAATAGGGAGCCATCCCTTGACCGCACCCGGGCATCGATCAGCCTCCCATTATATATGTACCAAATGGAGATTCCCCCAGTACAGCTATTGAACGCTTCACGAACTACGTGGTCGAAATAGATGTTAAATAATGTGGGAGCCAGAGGACATCCCTGTCGCACCCCAAGGTGTACAGGGAATGGCTCTGACTCCCAGCCACGTAGTTTTACCTGGGCCCGTTCACCATCATGAAGGTCCTTAATGATCATGAGCAGAGGGTCAGGGACTCCAAAAGCACGAAGAACATCCCAGAGCCCAGGCCTACTGATGGTATCATAGGCCTTGACCAGGTCAATAAAGCAGAGATGTAGGTCTTGTTGGAATTCCCTACGCCTCTGCTGTAGCAGACGGACAGATAATATAGCATCTGTGCAGGACCGCCCTTTCCTGAAACCGCATTGGGGCGCCGCAAGCCTCTCCTCACCGCCACCACCACCACCGTCACCACCACCGCCATCACCACCGCCACCACCATCACCACTGCCATCACCGCCACCACCACCGCCATCACCGCCGCTACCACCACCCCCATCACCACTACCGCCACCGCCACCCCCACTGCCACCACCACCCCCATCACCACCGCCACCATCACCGCCACCACCATCACCACCACCACCTTCATCACCACCGCCACCATCACCGCCACCACCACCACTGCCACCACCATCACCACCGCCATCACCACCGCCACCACCACCACCATCACCCAACCCCTTCTTCACCGACGCGTTACGCGCCAGCCCAACTCGCCGTTTGTCGAGCAGAGTAAAACGGAGATCGTTTCCCCACCTCCCTCAAGCTGCCGACGCCACGGGTCGCGTGCCCTGCACAGATCGCGACAATTCGAGCGACGCTCGAATGAAACGGATCTTCAACTTTTTTGTCGCGACGACGACGACTATTATTATGACATCGCCCCTGGATCACCGCGGGCTATCGGTGGCGCGTGGCGACGGAACGGGAGCGATGCACGCGGAGAGGGGATGTGGGGGTGGCACGGAGCGACCAGGGATGAGAAAAATGAAACCCGTCGCCACCTCGGCGGCTGAACGCCGACCGGGCCAGGCAAACACAATTTGCCACGGCGTGCACGAGGAACGCGCTTGACAATTGACCACATTTGTATTCTTCAATGTGTATTCGTTAACTGTGAAGATGGCGTAGAATCGCAAGTCCACGTGGCTTGATTTTGTGTGCACATTGGGAATTTTGCAGTTTTTTTGCTGCCACTCACTCGAAGCACGGTTAGCTTACTGTAGTGCGGGCGGACCTCATCCAGCAGTGGATCGAGCAAGGGGGCTCTGCGTGTAACACTGCATCCCAGGCGTTCATCAAAGGAGAGGATCTTGGTATCACGTGACTCTTAGCTGACTCCAGAGGCAATTTTTTCAGTCGGTGTAAGTATCTGGATCGTTAGGCATGCCTATGGGGATCTACTGAACATCTGTGAAAAAGAGCTTTATAGCTCATCGGATTCCTCCAGTCTAAAGAGAGATTTTTGGTTCGGATACGGGTCTCTAAGTCTATTGATCTCCGTGTCATTTCTCTGGCTCTCTAGTTCTAATTGTGTCAATCAAGGCCGTAATTATAATATTCATATTGTGTCAATCAAGGCCGTAATTATAATATTCATACTGTGTCAATCAAGGCCGTAATTATAATATTTGTATTGTGTCAATCAAGGCCGTAATTATAATATATTGTGTCAATCAAGGCCGTAATTATAATATTTATATTGGGGGACACATCCCCCCCAATATTCAAATATGCTCAAAATGTCCCCCCCAATATATTGCTATAAAATAGATTTCTGTTTATATGATTGTGGTTATGGTTTTACTTTATTAATCCCTTATATCTGCCATTACATACAATGAAACAAGAAAAGGTAAAAAAGTAAAACCAGAGCAATGTATTACAATAACACTATTAGACATTATTGTAAAAAATAAATAAAAATCCATCCTATGTGTTAGTGAATTTTTTGATATTTTAGGCAGGAAATTCGTTTTCAAATTTAGATTTTTTTTTTCCTGGGGGGGAACCCCTATACCCCCTGGAAGATTTGGTCCCCCCCCACAATGTTGACTCCATGGCTACGGCCTTGGTGTCAATGTAAGTGTGCGTGTCTCTAGGTTTCTGGGTCCCTTATGTCAGCCTATGGATCTTGGTCTCTGGACGTCTTTGTAGTTTTATGGCTGTCTATGTAAATCTACATGCCTCTCATTCTGCCGGTGTGTCTATATAAACGTGTGGGTCCCTAAGTCTCGAGGAGTTGATGTAGCGCTATGGTTTTCCAAGCCTATTGGTGTCTATGGGACCCTATGGGTTTCGTCGTCAGCCTGTATTATTAGTCTGTGGTGTTTAGCTGCACTTATTTAACCCCAGGTCTCCATTACAAAATAGCCTCTGCGCCTCAACGGGCTCTCCCCTCTGGCAATAAAATAAAGGTCACGAATGTCGATGTGTGTCTATGGGTCTCGGTATACGACTATGTAAGTCACTGAGTCTCTATGTAAGTCTATGCAAGTTACTGAGTCTCTGTATGTAAGTATATGTAAGTCAGAGTCTATATATAAGTCACTGAGTCTCAATGTCAGTCTATGAAAGACAATGCTTTTCTGAGTAAGTCTATGTAAGCTACTGAGTCTCTGTATCTAAGTATATGAAAGACAATGCTTTCCGGTGTAGGTCTGTGTAAGTTACTGAGTCTCTGTATGTAAGTCACTGAGTCTCTATGTAAGTCTATGCAAGTTACTGAGTCTCTGTATGTAAGTATATGTAAGTCAGCGTCTATATGTAAGTCACTGAGTCTCAATGTCAGTCTATGAAAGACAATGCTTTTCTGAGTAAGTCTATGTAAGTTACTGAGTCTCTGTATGTAAGTCACTGAGTCTCAATGTAAGTCTATGTAAGACAATGCTATTCTGTGTAAGTCAGGGTCTGTATGTAATTCACTGAGTCTCAATGTAAGTCTATGTAAGACAATGTTTCTCAGTGTAAGTCTGTGTAAGTTACTGAGTCTCTGTATGTAAGTCACTGAGTCTCTATGTAAGTCTATGTAAGGCAATGCTATTCTGTGTAAGTCAGGGTCTGTATGTAAGTCACTGAGTCTCAATGCAAGTCTATGTAAGACCATGCTTCTCCGTCTAAGTCTGTGTATGTCAGGGTATATATGTAAATCACTGAGTCTCAAATGTAAGTCTATGTAAGACCATGCTTGCCCGTGTAAGTCTATGTGCGTCAGCGAGTCGATATCAGGTCTCTGTTTAACCCTGCGATCGCCCAATGCATCTATGCAAGTCGGAGGGTCTCTGTGTAAGCAATGCGAGTGTCCTCTCTCTCTCTCTCTGCGGCTACGTCAATTGCAACTAGTTTCAACACAACAATGTTTTCCTTGGTATGTTTCAGACAAAAGTCTATTTCTTGAGCACCTGTGTTTTAGTGCGTGGGAGGAAACCGGAATACCTCGAGAACACCCAACACGCTTGCAAAGGTGAGATAGGTAGCTCTCCGAGTCTCTGAATACACTCCAGTCCCAGTGACCGACTTACTGCACTACCCACAGCCGCCGCACGTTTCACAGCAACGCTCCGTGGAATGCCGCGCGACCCACGTGGTTGCGCGCCTGGTATATCCGGCGCTTTGGAGGCCAGGGTTGGTGGATCACGCAGAGACTTGGCTGCCAAACCCGCCGAGCTGCGAGCGAGCAATGTGAGTCAGGGCGTGAGCAGTACAGCAAGTGGGTTCGTCAAGCCGTCTGTGCGGGCCCTTGGAGTCGCTATTCCCTTCGTATGTCTCGGCGGATTCCTCCACGGTTCCATAATTTCCCAATGCACGCGAAAAGCCAGAACTCGCGTTGCCAAAATGGAATTGACGGCCGAAAGAGGCAAATGTGGCAGCGCCCTCCTCACAAAGGTGCCCCGAGACTCATTGGGGAGCTTTTTTTCTGGATAAGTGAATCTCGTCGTTGCTGTTGTTGTTGTTGTTTTTATTACTACAACTACTATGCTGTTGATGTTGTTATTATTACTACTACTACGGCTTATTGGCGAGCGCACTGCAGCTCGATGAAACTGGCGGTCCACAGTTCGATGCTTCAGCCACGGCTAACATCAGTGGCGGGCGATACCTGAATCAGTCCTGACCTCCCGCCGGCCTCCTGCACCCCTCCACGAACTCGCATTGACCAGCGCGGTGAAGTATGGTCAAACAACCCCAATGACCATCACGGCGTGCGCAGGCATTCATGCAACGGTGGATTGACAAAGGACCTGTGACCTGCACTATTTTTAAGAAAAAAATATTATCCTTCAAGACGGCTGACCGGCGTGGAAGAGTAGGCCAAATGCCCTCTTGAGCGGGTCTCTACATCTCCCTCTTAGTGGAGGCCCTCACGCCGGCAGTAGCATAAGCGAGCGAATTTGCGGGGCTGCGCCTATACCTCGACGTGATCCGCCGACTCTTTCGACGAAGCGCACGCTGGCTTTCGAGTCAACAATATATATATATTTTTAACGAAAAGTATAATTTGGTCGCGAACAGATACAAAGACGGACGGACAGGGAGAGGGGGGAAGGGGGGTACACGGGACTTACCCCCGGCGTGTCAGCGAGTCGCTCCGGTCCACTTGGGGTGGGGGGGGGGGTCACTCCCCGCGTGATGCTCCCAAACGCGTAAAGGTGTCGCCAAAGTCGTCTTCTTCGGTAGTGAAGAAGAAGAAGAAAATAAAAACACCCCGAGAGGTTCCGCGTCGCGATTCTCCCAGGGCGCGCCCTCCTCGCGCTCACCACGACCGCGAGGCGTCTTCTGCTGCGCGTTACGCGCGCGGCGATTGGGGGGGGGGTGGCAGTGGCGATGATTTTAAGGGGGTTGTGGAGGGGGGCGGAGAGTCGATAAATCGGTTGAGGACCGTGCGCAGGTTGGTTCGCTGCCTGTAGGAGAGAGTGCGCGTGTGTCTCTCTCTGTGTGCGTGTGTCTCTGTGTGTGTGTCTCTCGCTCTGTGTGCGTGTGTCTGTGTGCGTGTGTCTCTGTGTGCGTGTGTCTCTGTGTGCGTGTGTCTCTGTGTGCGTGTGTCTCTCTGTGTGTCTCTCTCTGTGTGCGTGTGTCTCTCTCTCTGTGTGCGTGTGTCTGTGTGCGTGTGTCTCTGTGTGCGTGTGTCTCTGTGTGCGTGTGTCTCTCTGTGTGTCTCTCTCTGTGTGCGTGTGTCTCTCTCTCTGTGTGCGTGTCTCTCTGTGTGCGTGTGAGTGACTGTTCCGCGTGTGGCTTGAGAAGTCGCCGCGTCACGCCTCAGCGCAGACGCCCAGACAAGAAGTTACGCAGAGGCCGCGCCTTACAACGACACTCGCTCCCTCCTCCTCCTCCCCAACGCATCTCCAACTCATCACACGCTCCCTCCTCCATCGTTCATCACACGACCCCCCCCCCCTCGTCACCCCCCCGCCCCACTCATCTCGCGTTCCCTCATTAAGCGTGCACCCATTACGCCTCACACCGTCATCCCCCCTCCCCCCTTACATAGCCCCACCTGAACTAACTCACTCCAGTCCTGGTACTTCCCATACCCCGTTGCTCTCTCCAAGATTCTCACCTCTCATTCCCCTCCCCTCTTCTCCCACTAACTCCATCATTCCTTCACTTCCTTCCCCAACCCCCCTTCCCTCCTTCCCCAACCCCCCCCCTCCCTCTTCTGCCACCCAGACTCGAGCAGGACGCGTGAACCACTCATCGCAACCCGCGTCGTCCCCCCCTTGCCGACCGCACAAACGCCAGGTGTTTGCCCGCGGCAGTTTGGCCCAAAGGCGTGCCTGTGGGAGCGTGGCATTGGTATGGCGCGTGTTCACTCGGGTGGAGTGTTCAGTGACTACGGATGTGGGAGTTCATTAATCTCTGGTCAGGCCCTGAGCCCGTTGCTGTCGTGCAATGAGGAGCACGCTCACACCTCCCGGCGCAGCAGTTGACAGGGGTGCCGCGGTGGGTAGGGGATGTTAACTAGCTCGCCTGGTACGCAGGAGGTCGTCAGTTCGATCGTGACGCTGACGCCTGTTGTATATTTGGAGTGCGCGTGTTTCTCTCTCTCATCATCATCACGGTAGGTAGGAGATGTTAATTACCTCGCCTGGTACGCAGGAGGTCGTCAGTTCGATCGTGACGCTGACGCCTGTTGTATATTTGGAGTGCGCGTGTTTCTCTCTCTCATCATCATCACGGTAGGTAGGAGATGTTAATTACCTCGCCTGGTACGCAGGAGGTCGTCAGTTCGATCGTGACGCTGACGCCTGTTGTATATTTGGAGTGCGCGTGTTTCTGTCTCTCCCTGTGGATTTTTCTCCGGGTCCTCCGCATGTTTTCCCCCTCTGCATTTAGAATCAACAGCACCACGCGTTGAGAGGATTCGGCTGCTGCTGCTATACATTTCCACGTGATAAGCCACTTCTTTGGGCTATAATTTGTGATAGCCAGGTCGCTTCTGAACAAGAGCTATACAGTATAGGAGATTGAAAATACAAAAAAGATTACAATTAAATAAAAAAATAATACATTAAAAATAATTATGTGTATTTTTATTTTTTATTGTATTTTTTATTTCCTATGAATATGAACTCCTGCAGTCAGAAAAGTTTTAAGTCAAAATTGTATACAGTAGAGCTCAGTTGGCCTTACCTGGTGAATAAAAAAAAGTTTTATAGTTTATAGAATGAGGAAAATTTCTCCAATCTCCACGCCTGCGTGTCTACCCACCAGTGTGAATGGGTAAATGACAGTTTTAGTCGCTCGGAATTTCACGTGTGGTGGGGTTGGTGGAAGGTTCAGGCACCATCAGCATGGCATTTGGCCACAACCACCATCACCAACACTTAGTGCCGGATTCTCTTAGTAGCACACATATGTAGTAGCTACATATGTAGTAGCTACTACACATGTAGTAGCTAATACATATGTAGTAGTAGCTACGGGCCCCGCACTTTCAAGGGCCCCGCGCTAAACGCTTTCAAGCTGTCAATTCCGGTTCAGTGATTCTGCACTTGCTCGATTACTATAGTACTATACCGCCTTCAACTTTTATGAACGACTGGGTGTTTAAGGTTAGCGGTTTGTCGTATTATCTGGCTGCATAGCAAATGAAACAAGACAATTAATTTACATCGCAAGTTAATAAAAAAAAGTTTCGGATATATTTACGTGTTTTTTTAAAATCTAGGGTCCCTTTATAACATCGTGCTCCAGGCCCTGCACTAGCTTCATCCGGCACCGCCGCCGCAGACGAGAGCAAGTGCAGTGTGGGTAACTGCCTACCTCTTCCGAGGTATACGGCCACCTTGGAAGAGTAGGCCAAATACCATCTCAGAGGGGCCTCTCGAGAGCTTCCGCGAGTGGAGACTTCCGCTTCTGCCGGCAGTGGCGTGAGCAGGAAATTGCAGGGCTGCGCCTGTAGCTGTTACACACACGCACCCCCAACAGCCTGAAAACAAATATAAACCGAGGCTCATTTGTCTTCGTTGTATTTGTGTGTGTCAAACGAAACTCTTTCAACTATTTTGTTTTATTTTACAGGCTAATGCCCACTGAGCTATATACGGTAGCTCTGTTCTTTGGTCCTTTCGGTAAAGTGATGTAGAAAATAAAAAAAAATATATTCTTTGATTCCTGCAGTCACGAAAGCTTCGAATCTAGTTTGAAAAAGTAGCCCTTCTTTATCAGAAGCGAGCTGGCCACCACAAATGATAGCTCAACGGAAGCGGCTTATCACGTGGAGATGTATAAGCGGCCAACTACTCTAAACGCGTGGTGATGTTGATTCTAAATGTGGACGGAAAAACCGGAGGACCCGGAGAAAAATCCACACGACCACCGGGAGAGAGAGACACACACACACCGCAAACTCCAAATATACAGCAGCAGGCGTCAGGGTCGGGATCGACCCCACGACCTCCTGTGTACCAGGCAAGGTAGTTAATATCTCACCATGGGTAAGAGAGAGAGAGAGAGAGACGCAAACTCCAAATATACAGCAGCAGGCGTTATAGTCGGGATCGAATCCACGTCCTCCTGCATAGTTACAATCTCCTAGCCACTGCGGCGGCCTGTATGTGTGTATGCACCTAGCGTGGTACAAGCGAATAGCGACTATTGTTGTTGTTGTTTGTGGGAGTGCTCACACTTTACCCCATCACGCGCGACGAAACTACTGTGGCAACAGTAGAAACATCGCTGCGTCGAGCGCGCATATCTATAAAAGCATGTTTCATGTTTCACGTTTTTAAAAGTCTTTATGGTCCATAAAATCAAACAATTGAGGTGCACTAAACAAGGCGTAATTCGGGCTTGTACGCGTACACACATCATCATAAAAATACCGATTGCGAGACGCGCTGATTCCCTATATTGTGCAAACCAAACGCTCAGCGTGCGTCTTATAATCCAGTAGTTACGCGCGCGCATGTGTGTGTGCGTCAGTGTGTATGTTGCGTGTTGGCCACCCACCCCCTCGTGTGCCGTGCCAGCCTTCGTAGGTGCTGCTCGCTAACAGCACTTGCCCCAAAAGCCTGTCTGGGCTATACCGTGCAGGGGATATTTGCCTTCATCTTGCGCGTGTGCGTTCAAATTTCTGCGCGCACACAAACGAGAAATAATGATAGCATTGACAAAAATAAGCTCGCGGAAGCGACATGCTGAAACCGAAACGTAATTTGACGTAATAAGCTGGCATGCGTGGAGGTGACCAACTTTCAAAGGTTAGAAGCAAAGCAACGCATTGTAAATGCTGCGGATTTTCTCTCCAGCACACCAGAGTGCTGCACTAGTAAAGAATTGCACGTTCTGTTTACGTGACAAACCCCACTAATTGGCTGTGTCGGGTGGTGGCGGGTTTAACGACACATTTATATTTACTGGATCTAACCCCAAAAAAACTATAGTGTGAAAGCAACGCGTGCCCCCCCACGACTCGTAACGCCAAGCCACATACAGTCTAGGAAGAGAGGTGGACCGGTGGCGCAGTGGTTAGCGCGCTGTGCGAATTAACGTCAACACCATGATGGTGACGGTGGCGTTAGGGGACCGTCCATAAATGACGTCACGCGATTTTGGACGATTTTTGACCCCCCCCCCCTTGTCACGCAAAAAGTCAGAACCCCCCTCAAATATGAAGTCACAAAGTTCTGCCTCCCCCCGCCCCCCCCCCAAATAAAACATGCTTCAAACCACTTTAAACTATTGTCATTGTAGTGCGTATTCAATGTGGCGCTGCACTCTGATGTTGTAGGAGAAAACATTTATTAAAAAGTCTATTTAATTAAGTAGAACGCGTTGTCTATATTTATTTAAAGTTGCACATTTTGATGTGACGTCACATTTCTCAACCCCCCCCCCGTCACACATCGTCACAAATATCTGACCCCCTCCCCAGGTGCGTGACGTCATTTATGGACGGCCCCTTAACAAATAATGACTACGCACAGCCCATTGTTAAATTCACTGCTGGATAGAAGTTTCACGGCATAGGGCTTGTTTGATCCAACTTCACCAGAGCGCCGAGTGCGAGTTGGTGAAGTGGTGGTTGGGGGGGGAGGAGGAAGGGGGGGGAGGAGGAAGGGGGGGGGGGTCCATGCCGGTTGCGGATGTTGAGCCGTGGTCGGAAATCAAACTCAGGTGGCCGGATTTTGTTGTAGATGGTAAATTCTGTGTTTTAGCTGTTTTGTGTGTGTGTGTGTGCTAGGCAGTAGCGCAGGGGTTAGCGAGCGGCGACCCGAGTTCCATTCCCGCTCACGACCAATACCAGTAACGATTGTGAGCTGGTGCTGGAACACCCCTAGGTCGACTCAACCTCAAATGAGTACCTGATGTGGTGTGTAGATCATCGCCACTGGAGAGACAAAGGCGGTCGGGCGTGGTGCTGGCCACCCACCCCCTAGTGCGCCGTGCCGGCCTTCATAGGTGCTGCTCGCTCACAGCACTTGCCCCAACAGTGTGTCTAACGCTACACGGGGGATCTTTGTCTTTGTGCTAGGCACATTGGAGAGACAAAGACGGCGTGCAACGACAGCACAAGACGACGATTGCACTGTG